ATAGTGCTCAACATGGCACTGAAGAGAGCTAAGGACAGAATGAGACATTTTAGGTTGGGCCACAGAGAGCTACGCCCAGTTCATCTCACCCTTCTGGCATATGCCGACGATATCGTGGTATTCGGGAACAATGGAAGAAACCTCCAATACAACCTCCGAATCCTGCAGGAAGAATTAGAACTGTTCAATCTGGAAATAAACAGCCACAAGACAAAAATTATGAGGATAGGAAGAGGGGAAGAGAGAAGAGATCGAGTACTTCGATTGAAGGGGGAGGAACTGGAGCACGTCAAAGATTTTAAGTATCTGGGAGCCCACCTAAATGAGAACGGTTGGATAGATGGTAAAATTGGAGAAAGTATAAAACTGGCCAGCAAATGCTTCCATTCACTAAAAACAGGCTTCTTAGCAAAGAGAGAAGTATAAAAAAATGTCAAGAAGACGGTGTATAGAAATACATTTGTCCCCATACTGACTTACAGCAGTCAATCCTGGACTATAACCTCAAAACATAAAAGCAATATCCAAGCAATGGAAATGCGATTTCTGAGGAGAATAGAGGGGAAAACTAGGAGGGACAAAATTAGGAATACAACGATAAGAACCAATTTGGGAATAAAACCAGCAGAAAACACAATTGAGGAAAACAGGCTAGTCTGGTTTGGCCATGTCAAAAGAATGCAGGAGGGAAGAATTGCCAAAACTATATATGAAGTAAAAGTGGAAGGAAAAGAATGCCGAGAGGAAGGCTCAGAAAGACCTGGGAAGGTTCAGTCAGGGAGGATTTCGATAGGAGAGGAATGAATTGGCATAGACGCAGTCAACTGGTGCGGGAACGAGATAAATGGATCAAGCTCTATAAACAGGATCCTCTACACTGATCTAGCGGTAGAAGAGGAATTGATTAAGAAGAAGAAAAAGAATTATGAAAAAAAAGTTCCGCTAGATTCGCAATCGTCCACTCTGCGTCGTGTGGTCTAAATAATGACGATTATTGTAGATGTCTGCCAAATATAATATTTATTTAAAACAAGTTTGGTATCTAGAGTAAATATTTTTTTAGGGAGACACAAAGTTGAAATTCATTTTTCGCTCCTCAAAAAACCATTAAATACAATTTTTTATAGAAATCGAAACTTTAAAATTTTTGGCTAGACTGGATCCTTCGAAATTTTGTCAAAAATTGTAATAACTTAAGAACGGCTCCACCGATTCACATAATTAGGGATTTAGAGCTGTATATACTACACGGACTGGTATAAAACAACCTCCATAAACAACTTAGAACCAAAGATATAAAATAAAAATGATTGGGAAGTTTTTCATAATTCCTAATTTAAAAAGGAATGAAATCTAAAAGCTATGAAAATTCCTATTTAAGAGTTTAAAAGGACACTAAAAACGAATCTAACCTGCTTTTTCGTAACAAAAATTCATTTGACCTACTTTACTGTAAGCGCCTTTTGGTTTTTGTAATTTATGATGCTGTTAAGGCCCGAATCTACTTATTATCTTTTTCTTTTTATTCCCCACCATTCATTGTTTTTATTATTATTTCTTAATGATATTTACAACTGTATTAAAGAAATACATTTAGTAAATTTGAAAATATGGATATAATGACGTGAAAACATGATGATTCTGAAGTTTATTCTGGAAGGATAGGAATCTGGATTGGGCCAGATCTGAAAGATAAGAAACATTAAGGTCATTGTGGATGGTTTTATTTGTAACAAAGTGGGGAGTATTGAGGATTTCATCTTTTTAAGCGTTAAATTTAATAAAGAAACATATTTAATTGTATATTATTTAAATATTATGTTTAATTAGACAATGTGTTATCGCATTTGTTTATATGCGATGCCCGGTAGTAATCTTTAGTTACTTAAAGGATTATAAGTACCCAGCAAAACACTGCCGGGTCAGTCTTCAGTTATCTTATCTTGAGACAGTTACCTAAGCAGGTATCCATCAATCAATATAATTCATAAGCATTAAGAAGGGTGATTTATTTGATTTTTTCCTCATTAATGGATTTATATATTTTTTGTAATATTTGTTCGCATTAATTTGATTATTTTTTTCTTCTCTTCTATTATAGCTTTCACCTTCATTTTATTGTCTTACTCTTTACAGCTTCGTCTGTTTTACTCGTATCTCACATATTTTGAGGAAACTCCCAGGGGAAATATTTGTATTTCAATTTTGAACTACCACTAGCCCCAACAGATACAATTATAACTCATTTAATACAATAGTCAACATTTTCTTATTATTCTGCACAAAAAAAAAAAGAAATAGTTTGATTATACAATATCCTTAAACTCTGGGGAAAGTGAAGGTAAAAATAAATAACATAAATTTTGTTAGAAATTATATAATTTTCTCGGCTCCTAGAGCTATATGGAAAGACCGCTTTTTTTATAGCTCTAGTACGTCTTTACAATCAACAAAAAAAAAAATTGATTGAAATCGGTGACCCGCCCAGTGATTACATCATCCCCTTGTAAGTTCCTCAATATTCTGATTTAAATGCACAAGGGACCAATTATGTTTACGTATGTAATACCTGCAATAAAGCTATAACTACAGTTTGATCTTTTATTTATTTAATTGCTATGAATGTTTAATTGATTCGAAAAAAAAAAATACATTCTGGATAAAGCAACATTATGGATACAATAACCTCTCTCCCCCTCCCCCATGCTAAGCATTGCCAAGTAGAGGGTCCAAAAATAATTATATTATTTAATTTCAATAAATATACGTATTTAAATGTTTTAAAGTAATCTACTTTACATAAAGTAGATCCATCCATCCATCGAATTCAAGGATGCCACCGCCTTGAATCCAGCAGAAATTATTAGAAACGAAGACAACAGCGCCAGAGTTGTGGGACCTGTTAGGTCCATTACGTAAAATACACACAGTTTGTAAATTACGTTAGTCACCAGGTCCTATTTTTTTTTTATTATTTATTTATTCATGATATTTACAACTGTATTTAATTAAAAATACAATTTGTAAATGTGTACTCAGGAATAATACAATCACATGAAAACGCTTGTTCAAAAACTACCCATCGGTGGCACTTTACCTTACTTTAATTTAAAGTAAATCATAACACTATAGTAATCAATAAAAAAAATTATTCAATTTAATTAATTAGAAGTGATGGACGTTTGACTATGACGGTACTTTTAATTTTTTTTTCCGAGGATTAGTCAGGGACTAGGTAATGGTTCTTATTGAGATATTCAGGCATATTATGGAAAATATTTTTTATTATTCATATTTTTTAGCTATGAGCAAGGGTGCCCAGAAGGGGGTTTCATGATGATCAAAATATTTGAGGAGGGCAAATTTTGACGGGGTTTGAACTGTCGGAATAAAATGTTTTTAACAAGGGGACAAGAGCAAAGCATAGAACAGACCACTGAAAGTATAATTGTACATGAACTATGATTGTTTAAATGCTACTATAGCTTGAACTGCTTTTAAGGAGAGAATAGCAATAAAATATCTTGTGAGAGGAAAGAAGGGGATCATGCGCCATCAAACTTGGTAAGGGGGGATATGCACCCCTGGCCATTAGGGTTGTCCAAATGCAAGACCAACGCAAGACTTGGCTAGTCTTGGCCTTGGTCTTGTAGTGTTCACACCTGGTCTTGGTCTTGCACACTCAGCCTTGGTCTTGCAGCATGAGTCTCGCAAGTTTTGCAATTACCTATTAGCCTATTGCTATTTATTAAACACGTTAATTTATGTCTTAGAACGACACAAAAGAATAGCTACATTAGAGACTATCTTTTGACCTAGACATAGCTAAGTTCAACCAAATGTACTAAAATATATATACTTTAAAGACATTGTCAAGATAGATAGTGATAAACCGCATCCTTAGATGGAATGTAAGGGTTGTGGTATAAAGACATTAAATACAATGTCAGCATTTATTGAAATAAAAAATAGAACACACATTAAGTGTTTAGTTATTTAGTAGTTTATTTAAACAATAATGACAATTTGGTCCGACAAGATGGTAACGTCTATCGGTCGGTACTATTCATTATAAATAAATCAGTTTTTAAATAGTGACATATTTTTATTTAACAAAAGCTATAGTTATGATTGTGTGTGTGTGTGTGTGATGTGAAAATACTAATTTTCCAGGCTCACTTTGACTTCTTTTCATATAGTTGAAAAGCAACTAACAAAAAACAAACAGGAATCCAACACAAATCCAACAACTGTGGAATAAATAAATAAATTTATTCGAATGAAAAACAAATTAAAATTAAATAATATTCATTTGGCATTGTTTAACTTTTTTTACTGCATAAAAATCGGGCTCTGGTCATAATATTTTCTGGCGCAAAAACTGTTACTATGCTCGATCTAAGATGATAAATTTCAACTTTGCTGTGTAGACTACCATCTTTCAAAACATAAATACATATGTTTATATAATTCAAAAGATAGAGGACGAAGTTAGTAGGTGTACCTGTGGAGAATCCCACATAATCATTTGATAAGCCGTAACTGAAGCAATATTATCATCACATTATAATAATCAATAAAATAGATTTCAGTGTTATAACGACTTACTTTATAGTTAAATGGAAACCAAATACTCAATAACGCACAAATCTCAGTTTTACTTAACTGCGAGACTGCAAGACTCGTGCAGGTCAGTCTTGGTCTTGCGCAAGACTTGGAGGGTCCGGTCTTGGTTTTGGTCTTGCGAAAATCAAAGAGGTCTTGTCTAAGAGGCAAAAGTGCAAGACCGAGACCAAGACCGCAAGACGAAGATCATTTTGGGCAACACTACTGGCCATGTAGGTGCCCTAAATAGCTTGGCCGAAATGTCGGCTATGGAAATGAAATAACCCTTTCATTTTGCTGATGTTATTTTATCGTAATCTCACTAGACTGATCTCTCAAAATAAACATCCGAGATTTTTTTCTTATTTGATTGGAACTACATATCTATTACATACCACTTCGTAACCATTCCGACGTTTATTTTTAGTGGAAACAATCTCCATCTTCTTACTGTGACGTGCCGCTCTCGATATCGACAATACAAATGGATCACCGACTACATTAAGGTATCTTTTTACGTCACTTGGATCGCTAAAAACAGTAATTCATAATATTAGTAATTTTATTTATACTTTCCTTTATGTTATGATAATAAGTGGTATACAAATCAAAGTTTTAATAAAATTAAATTTATATCAATAGTTTTTAATTACAACGTCATTTATTCTTCTACATTTTATACTCACCAACTGTTAATGAGATCCATCTGAGATCTAGTAAGGGCCAAACCATAATAAGTTATGTTAAAGACACCTTTCTGGAAGTCTATATTTAATTTGATGGCTGTTACCTGAGTAGTATCGCACCCGCTGGCAACCTGTAATTATGAGAAATATCAATTACCATTCTCTTATTCATGAAAACTTTAAACAAGTTGAATCAAGGTTGGAGTTTTACCTCATCTTCAGGTTCTTAACTTTTTTTTACTCACATTTAATATTGCTAATAGTTCATCCCACTAGTTTATTTTTTATTGAAAGATATTGCGTCTTATTATTCTAGCTATTTCTTTTTCACTTTGAGGCATTGCTTGGGGAGGAGTGGGCTTTTGGGCTGAAGCCCCCTATTCCCTCTCCCCTCAAGTAAAAGAACATAACCCATGGATATCTTATTATGGCGGCGTAGGATTTCTTTAAAGAACCATCAATACTCTGTTAGAAGTAATTGACAATCTTTAATTAATAAACAGGCCCAAAAAACTCGGCTAAACCGAGAGCCGCCGAGCCAGGGGGGCACCCACAGAGAGTTCCAAATTCATTGTCCTATATTTTTCTAGTACCCCAAAAATAATTATTTTGTATTCGCTTATTTCCTAAAATTTTCGGGACACCTCCGATGACCCCTAACATGAATATTTTGTACTTTTTTATCGCCGTAAAATGATTGGAGGACTCCCCTCTGATAGTGCCGAAGATCATTGTTTTGAGAATTTATCTAGTACCGTTGCACGTTTTGCTCCCATAATAATTGTTTTGTATTCGTTTATTTCCGCAAATTTTTGGACCCCTCCGATAGGTCGGGGACATAAATTTTTTGTACTTTTTAATTACCGTAAAATGATTAGGAGGTCCCGTGAGGGTATCATCGTATGTTTGGCCCCAATTGTTTTGTAAATTTGGGTAAATTGTTTGTATATTTAAATTCCTAGTAACTACTTATATAAATATTAAAACAAAGATTAAGGAAGCCATGGAAAACAGAGAACACTTCTATCTTTTATTTTCCTGGTGTGTTCTGGCTAGGTGAACCAATGCCAGTCCCAAGCCTGGATAAAGGAGGAGTGTTGAGCGTGGGGAATGGGCGACCTCACATCTATAAAAAAAGTACATTCCATAAACTGCCGAGAGGAAGTTTTCTATACAGGAATGGTGAAGGCCAAAACATGGATATAATCCTTAGAGGGAGACATTCGGATACGGGGGGAGGGGGTCCCCACCTACACCAGATCTTGAGAGATGCTCGAGAATAAGAAGAGAGAGGAAAATAGTGGCCGTGGAATGAGAATCGGGGCTTAGAATGTCCAAAGCATACTGCAGCCGAGAGCGAGCAGAGCTCTGGAGATAGCACTAGAACAATATAAAGTAGATGTAGTGGCTCTACAGGAAATCCGGTGGGCGATATTGATATTGTATCCCTTAGCAAGAACATGGTGATAAATAGTGGCTCTGATAAATAGTGGCGGAGAAATCAAAGAGGCGCCGGTTTCATGATTAGAAAAAATATCCAACATTCACTACTTGGGTATGATTATATTAGTGACAGGATTTGCAGAATCCGAATGAAGGGTAGATTCTGCAATTTACCACTGATTAATGTGCATGCCCCTTGTGAAGATGCGGAGGAACTGGACAAGGAAACATTCTATACCAGTCTGGCCAAGACATACGATTTATTCTTAGCATATATCACATTCTTTCAGAGCATATATCACATTATGACACAAAGATTGTGCTTGGAGATTTTAATGCCCAGATAGGAATGGAAGAAATATACAAACCCACAATCGGGCAAAATAGCAGACATGAAGCATCGAATGATAATGGATTTTGAACAGTAGAATTTGCCATGTCTAAATGAATGATGGTTATGACTACTATGTTCCCCCACAAAAAGAATCACAAGAAAACATGGATAAGTCCAGGAGACCGAACTGGAAGTCAGATAGACCATGTATTGATAGACGCGAGACACTTTTCTCACATCTCGGATGCACGTAGCTAGAGGGAAGCAGAATGCGACTCTGACCATTTCCTTGTGGTGGCGAAATATAAACAACGTCTGGCACGTAGAAAGAAGACTTTGGGGGCAAAAGCATTTGCTTGTGAAATCGAGAAGTTGATGGAGGAACCCACAAGACAAGTGTATGAAGAGAAATTCCAGCGACAGTGCCAGGAATGGATTGGAGAAGAGATGAATGCAGAGGAAAGGTGGGGAAAATCAAGAGAGTCTATCAGGAAGGTGGCAAGAGAGGCATTGGGAGAAAGGGAAAACACTAAGAAAAGGCATCTTCGGTTTGATAGTGATTGTGAGAAGGCCCTACAAGAAAGAAATGAAGTTCAGATGAAAATGACCCAAAGGAAAACAAGCAGTAAATATGAAGCATAGTCGGAAAAAAGAAGAAAGGCTAAACGAGTTATGTGTGATAAGAAAAGAGAATTTCTACGTTTCAGACGTCAAGGATCAAATTTGGTTCGGTGTCCGTCTTTCTGTTGTCAAATCGATGACACGGGCATATCACCTACTATCATTTATCCGATTTTCATGAAATTTTCAGAGTTTGTGCGGGTTGGTGCATAGATGATCCCATATTAATTTTATCATTCGAAGTCGAATAAAAGGTAGGTATTGGTGAAAAAATATTGTAGTATCAATTTTATTGAATTTCGTCCACTTCTTTCTCTTATATATGCGTAAACGAGTTGGCGCTGGTATGGGCCGACGTTGATGGTGGAAACCCGTCCCATAGCGCGCCGCCTTCATCTTATTTAAGAAGAAGAAAAATAAATTTTATTCTGGGTCTAAGTCACCTTATAATAAATACAATGTACAATTTGATGAAAATTATCTGGCATTGGAAACAAACTACAAGACTGTCTAGATCTAAGGTTATAATAAAGAAAATTAAGGAAAGGCACTGTTAGATATATGAAATCATAGATCAATTCATATATGCGAGTTCACATATTTTTACACATAAACGTGCATGTGGGTGATATATAATTACCTGTCAGATAACATTAAAGCGATTAACAGATCTAAAAAACGTGAACATTATTTTACACATATTCGGAAAATTGATTACTGAGGAGATGGATAAATAAATTATGTTCAAATGAGGTCAAGGATGATTATTTGCGTATGGAGGTTGGTAGGGGATTAAAAAACAAGCTGTTACCCATGACAAAGGATTTTTTAAAGGAAACAGTTCTATGAGAAGGAATAAACAGGTTTGAGGGCTGGGATCTCGTGTTGAACGAATGGACAGAGGAACAAGGAATAAACAAATCGAGAATGTAAGAGGTTTTTTTTTTTTTTTTTGTTGAAAAGGTTCGAAAAAGTAATAAGCCTAGGAAGTATTACCGTCGTAAGACTTGATATAGCCACTTCAACTCGGCATACCAACAGGAGACGTTAGAGCGCCTGGGGACTCCATAAATGAATCTAATGAAACAATTCATCAGTCTCTTTGATCTGACCACAAGCCTACCAGACAGTCCACCGTATACAAAGCAGCCATAATCGAAATGAGGGAAAATTAGTGAGGAAACTAGGGCTGACGAATTTTAAGGGGCATTGAATCACAGAATCTTAGGAACTTTTTGAGAGTACCAATGGATTTTCGGATTATTTGGGAAATATGATTATTCCAGGACAGATTATGATTAAACATTAGCCCAAGGTTTCTAACGGAAGTGTGGAAACGGATAGGTAGTCAATTTAGGTAGAGTAGGGGATAATAAGGTGTGGAATTAATTAGATGCTTGGAACCAATGAGAATGGCTTTGGTATACCCAACATTCAACTTTAAATCGTTGCTCACTGCCCAAGTGTTGATACTATCAATATCTTCTTGAAGCATTTGGATTGCCTCAAGCATCTTAGTAGGACGAAAGGAAAGGTCAGCACATTGGAGATCGTCAGCACATAAATGATATTGTGAATGATGGATGGAATCAGGAAGGTCGTTGATGTAGATACAGAAAAGAGTTGGGGAGAGCGAAAATCCCTGAGGAACACCACGGATTAGTGAGAGGGGACAAGAAGAAGTTTCATTAGGTATGGTGAATGTTTGGGATCTTCGATACAAGAAGGAATGGAACCACTTTAGACCACTATTTGATATGGGAAGTTTTTTGAGATTGGAAAGAAGAATTTCATGATGGACTGAATCGAATGCTTTTGAGAAATCAAAGAGGACCAAGATGGTGATTTTCTGTTTTTCTACGAAGAAATGAAGGTCCTGTGTAATTTTTAACTAAGCAGAGTGGGTGGAGTATTGGGAACGAAAACCGGATTGTAGAGGATTGAAGAGACAGTTTTGCTCTTGAAAGTTGTTCAACTAAGAGTGAACTAATCTTTCTAGAGGCTTGGATAAAATGAAAATGGGTCTGAAGTCGGATGCTAGTGAAGGAGCTGGAACTTTGTTCAACGAACGGACAATGACTTTTTTCCAGGCTTTTGGAAAAATGGAATTTTGGAGGGAAAAATTGTAGATGTGTAGGAGTATAGGAAGTAAGTTCGGTAGGCAGAGTTTAATGATTTTCATAGGAATTTGGTCAGGACCATAGTCGTTGGTTTTGGATTTAAGGATAGTAGAGAGTAGAGAGAGGAGTAGAGAGAGAGGAGAGAGGAGAGGAGAGATAGGAGAGAGAGGAGAGATATCAAGAAAAAAAAAATTATCAGGGTCAAAGGAGGTTTCAGGAATGCGATAAGGTACGGGGCCAGATGTGAATATAGAAGTAGGATGGTTCGTAAAAAAGATATTTAGTTAGTTCATTCGGATCTACTGGATAAAGTGTGCAGGTTTTGGAGCTTATGGCAGAGAGTTTTCTGAGGATTGTCCATTTGGATTTAGGATTAGGTGCTTGGGATAGTACATTGTTAAAGTATTGAGCTTTGGCTCAATATTTGTGTACTGTGTTGGGGTAGTCGTGTATGTCTGAATCGTCTTCTTGCAGCCTCTCTTCCTCTCATCATCCCTCTGATTTTTTAATTTATCCAAGGAGCAGGAGGACGTCTAAAAGTACGGGTTTTAAGGGGAGCGGGATGGTTAAGGAAATCAAGAAGGTTAGAGGAAAGGTGTTCCACCATTTCATCGATGGAAGAAAGGCAGTAGATGGGTTCTAAGGAAACTGTTAAGGAATCGAGATAAGGTTTATGTTTTCAATGGTTAGAGAATCGAGATCTCTCCAGGAAATTTGTTTGGGGACAATGATAGGAATAATAACATTGTATGAGATTGTGTGGAGGATAATAGGTTTTGAGAGGAATCAATGATAAATAAGTCTAGCCAGGTATCAGTGGACTGGGTATGATGGGTGGGTTGAAAAGGTACAATATATAGGTCAAAGAGAAAAACAGGTCAATAAGGTATGTTCTGTTCGGAGAGACTGAAAGGAGGTTGGTGTTGAGGTCGTCTGCAATTGAAATTAAATGAAATGATGATTCCTATTATCCTGGGATTTATCCTGGCCATAAAATTAAATAAAATATTTACAATGTTCATTAAAATAAAAATATTGGATGAAAAATAAAACAAAACCGCTACATACATATAGATATATACAATACAAACATGTGAAAATAAAATAACATAATTAAATAAAACTATTTCTGGGGAACTTAAAAAGTTCTCTTATCTACTTTTCATGATCAATCGGGTTGGGAAAGAAGTAGGTGCTTAAAAAGGAGGGATTTAAATGAGGAAACTGATTGCGCATGTCGGATATCGGGTGGGATGGTATTCCAGGTGGAGATGACTTGAATTATAAAGGATTTATAAAGGATAGCCTAAAAGGCGAGGTAGGGAAGAAAAAAAAAAAAAAAGCAAGGAGGTATAGACGGCGGTTGGATGGATAGAGCCACTTCAACTTGGTGTAATACTGGGTTATATGCGTATCTCTTGAGATTCTGAAAACAAAACGTATTGCGCAGTTCATCAGGCGTTTAAGTTTGGCCTCGAATTCTCCCGAGAGTCCGCCTTACACCAGACAGCCATAGTCGAAGTAGGGGAACACAAGGGAGGAAACCAGGAGTTGTTAGGATTTATATGGAAGGAGATAGCGGAGACGGTTAAACTGTTTCAGGGTAGAGATAGTACTACGGGAAATTTGGGAGATGTGTGGTTTTCAGGAGAGAGTTTGATCAAAGGTAACACCGAGGTTTTTTACGGAAGCATGGAATGAGATAAGTGAGTTGTTCAGGGAAAGATTGGGGAGTGTCGGTAAGGATTTGAGGAGTGAGGGAGTTCCGATCAGGATAGCTTTCGTTTTCTCGGAGTTTAGAGTGATTATATTTTGGTTTGCCCAGGCACAAATTCCGTCTATATCTTTGTGTAATTTTTTGATGGCGACAGAGGATTCGATCGGATTGAAGGAGAGGTAAATCTGGACGTCGTCGGCGTACAGATGGTATTGACAGTGTATGATATAGGATGGAAAGTCATTGATGTAGATGGAAAAAAGGGTGACAGAAAAGGAGGAGCCTTGTGAGACACCTCTGGAAAAGGGTAAAGATTCTGTTAAGGGAGGTTATTAGGGACTACAATATATTGGGAGCGGCCGGTAAGGAATGATTGGAACCAATTAAGAGTACTAATTATGACATTTTTTACCAGAGGGATATGTGTAAGGAGGGAGGATTCAAATTTGGGATCAAATCGGACACGAGGAGGGCGGTAAATAACGACGTAGAGTACGGAGAAGGTTCTAGAGGAAACTTGGACAAATAGATATTCAATGTATTGGATATCAGAAGAAGGTGAATTTAAAAGGATTTTGGCCCTCAAGCAATCATGAACAAACAGACCGACGCCTCCTCCGGGTCGATCCGCCCGATCATGAAGAAAGAGGGTATAGTCGGGTAAGGAAACAGATGGTGAGGGGATGTCAGGTTTGAGCCAAGTTTTTTATACGGCAATAATATGGTAGAAATTGTGGTGAAAATAATCTAAGAATTCATCATAATGTGCTGGAAGGGATTGGAAGTTATCCTTTCGTCGGTCTCCCGTCCTAAATATCTTGTTGAGAAATCTCTCTTTAATTTGCGCAGCCGTATGATCTCATCGCGTACCGTCTGGCGGACGAACCGCACGACGATGGGCAGTGGCCGAGAGTCTTCTCTTCTGCTCCTTTTTCTGTCCACGAAATTTAGGTCCTCAATGTTTAATTTTATACCTAGAGCTAGCCCTATGGAGCAAACTAGGCCCTCTGTCGTTTCACCCGGATTAGCCGTGATACCTCTTATCTCCAAGGAAAGAAGGTATTCTGGTGAAAGAATTGCAAAATAGAAATTTTCAGGGACCGGATTCTGGGAGGAGGACAATAAGTTTTGAGAGGAATCAATTGATAGGAAAGACATAAATGTGGGCTAAGGAGGCTCAGAGATACATAAACAAAAATACAGAGTACTTAAATAGTCAAAATAAAAAAATTATAAGCTACTTTCTAATTTTAATCAGTTAATAGAAAATAAAAAAATGGAAAAATAAAATATTAAGTAAAAAAACATGAAGGACGATCTAATAATTTATATATTTATTCATGGTAGTATCTATTTACAAGTTTATGGGGACTGGATCGATAAGAAATAATTGAACTGGCGGGATTTAAAGGTGGGAAGGGTATTGGATTAACGGATTTGGGAAGAGGTTGGAGTTCCATAAGGATGAGGATCGGATAATGAACGATCTGTCGAAAGCTGCGATCCGGTAGGCTCTTGTGTATAAATCTGAAGACCGGGAACGAACAGAGCATTTGAATTGAAGGAGCTCGGAGATGTATGAAGGACGGCGGGATTTGATGACTTGAAAAAGGAAGGATGCCAGGAAATACTTATGACGGTAGGAAGGACAAAACCACTTCAACTCCGCATAAAAACGAGAAATAGAGGCGTCCCGTAGGATCCCGAAGATGAATCGTATAAAGCAATTTATCAAACGTTTTATTTTTGCCTCGAGATCTTCAGAGACGCCCCCATATACCGTACAGCAATAGTCAAAGTGGGGAAATATTGAGGAAGAGACTAGGAGCCTACGGGTTTCAAGGGGAAACAGGTGACGGAAGTAATTTAGACGTTTAAAGGTGGAAAAGGTACGGCTGGAGATATTGGATACATCGTTTTTCCAGGAAAGAGTTTGGTCAAAGGTTATACGAAGGTTTTTGATGTTGGGGTAAAATTTAATGGGATTTTCATGAAGGAACAGAGTTGGAATATTGGGAACAGTTTTAGGGAGGTTATTGGAGCCTATTAAGATTGCCTTCTTCTTTTCCGTATTCAACTCCAACCTGTTAGCTGTCGCCTAGGAAGGACAGGTATATTTGGAAATCATCAGCATAGATATGGTGTTGGGAGTGATGGATCATGGGGAGAATATATGTAAATAGCAAACAGAGTAGGTGATAGAGAGGAACCTTGAGGTACACCACATGAGAGGGGGAGTGTCTTGGATGGATGTTGACCAAGGACGACTACATACTGGGACCGGTTTCAAAGGAAGGATATGAACCAACGAAGAGCACTGTTGGATAGATGAAGATTGTGCAATTTAGTAAGGGGAGTGTTATGGTCAACAGTCAAACGCTTTGGGAAAATCTAGAAGGGTGAGGATAGTAAGGTTTTGGTGTTCAATGGAGTTTTGGAGGTCATAGGTTTTAAGGAGAGCGGATTGTGTTGACTAAGCAGGTCGAAAGCCAGATTAGAATGGGTTGATGAGGGAATGTTCCTCTAGGAAGTTGGAGAGTTGATGTTGGATAAGGCGTTCTAACGGTTTTGGGTTTTGACAGGTAGAATAGGAGAGAAATAGGATAGAAGTCGTGCATTGAGGTGAGGTTGGACATTTTATTCAAAGATCGGACTAGGGCAGTCTGAGGAAGATGGAAATATGGAGTTTTGCAATGAAAAGCTATAGATAAGGTAAAGCACGGGAATAAGTGTGTAATATGTACACAAAATCAAGTTATATTGCACGAAGGTACATCGAAATTCGATTAAGATAAAATGTAGATAAGGTTTGTACAGTAGGTAATGATTACTCACTTTAAGTAAGAATGTTCCTCTAGGAAGTTGGAGAATTGGTTTGGACAAGGCGGTCTAACGGCTTTGGCAGGTTGGATAGGAGAGAAATAGGACAGAAGTCGTGCAGTGAGGTGAGGTTGGACATTTTATTCAAAGATCGGACTAGGGCAGTCTTTGAGGAAGATGGAAATATGGAGTTTTGCAATGAAAAGCTATAGATATGGTAAATCACATGAATAAGTGTGTAATATGTACATAAAATCAAGTTTACGAAGGTACATCGAAATTCGATTAAGATAAAATGTAGATAACGTTTGTACAATAAGTAATGATTACTCACTTTAATATTACTAATTAATGCAAGTTAATACCTTTTTTTATAGAGAAATTAGATATTTGGTTCCTTCAAGCCATTCTAATCGCCTTGAATTACACTTAATCTCATTCTCATTGATCTTATAGTTAACTATTCACATTTATTTACTGCTTTATATACACCTAAGCCCCACGTTTCTTAGGGACATCTGGTTCAGACTATACAAATTGGAACCCTACACTATGAAAGCGGTAAAGGGGATAAAATGATTATGATGATGATATTTGCAATAGAGCTGCATGCAGATAATAGAAAAGAAATAGCCCAAGGCAGGAAGAGGTGGAGCAGGCTTGTTAAGGCGGCAAAAGATCTACAAGTTCTTTAATGCCAACAAAAAAAGAGAATGTCTTATTCTAGTACTAATCCTATCAAATAGAAATGATATTTAAATTTTTTTTTAAAATTACCAATAAGTTGGTGAAGTTATTGGAACTATTAAATAAGTCATTGTATACAGGCATGATGGCTAATGGGCGAATATAAAAAATCATCAACACTATTGTTTCCGATTTTTAAATATATTCCCTTTTACATTCCCACGATTCAATTATAAAAAAAAATATAATTAACATTTGAAGTTATAATTGATAGGCATATATAATAATATCAGCATTATATATTTATATAATTATATGTAAAAATAACAAATCTAACAATTGATCATTAACTGATTTTTAATTTAATTCCAGTTGGTTATTAATAATTGATATAATTTATATAGATACACTCCATGTTGAAACTAAAGGCCTATTACGCAGAACCATGAAAAAGTATCCCAAAAAACATTCTTGTTATCGTAATAACCGTTTCCTTTGTTGTCTTTTTTTAACAGGCCTTCAAGGAAAACACAACGTTTTATATAGTTTCTCAATCCATTGCTAATTTAAACCGTAGGTGACAGCAATATAATTTATAAATTATCGCGATAATTTTTGCTAAAAATACAATACCAAATCACATTATCGTTTTACATAACTAGGAGTGAATCCCAACTTCTTCCATAGCAAACCTCAACTTAAATTATATGAACTTAAATGTTATTAAATAAGGGAGATTTGCAGCAGTCGAGTTTGAGGGTGATAAAAAGAAATCGATAATAATCAATGATTTTGTTTTTGTGACCAACATACTAAAACACGGGCAGGCTACTATTGAGGAAAAAAAATATTCAGTACTCCTCACTCTAAGTAGCTTTACCAATCTCTGGTTTACGCTATACCTATATTTTTTTAAATCAGTAATAGCTCTAATTTGAATTAAAACATACCAAAATAACGTCCAGTACGAGTAGAGAAATCATTTCTATTACACAGGGACAATTTCAATCGATATCGATATAGTATTGATAAGACAGCTAGTTGGTAAAATGCTGGATATAGAACAGCTGATGTCATGGTAATTTTAATTAAGGTAACCAATAGCAAAAATCTAGAAAGTTAATTTCAGTTACTAATTTATTCTAAAATAAATTAATAAAACTAAATATAAATATCAAATTAAAAGTACTTATGACAACAACTAATTGAATAGTTTGTATTCCTCCTAAGACCATTAAATAACATGAAAACGTTGGATAGAATCAATTCCATTTTGTGGAATAATTGAAACATAGGACAATGTTCTTTCACACCATCCCTATTACAATTTACTAGGTAGATTGTTCATTGGTAGGCCTCTATACGTTGTAGATAACATGACGATAGTTGTCACCTCCGCGACAGATACTGTTAACTGTCTTGTAAATACTGTCATTAAACAAGTATTACCAAATACCAAAGTTATTACTGCAAATGTTATTCAACTGTACAGTTTACACAATGGAAGTAACTGATAATATTGTCATCTTGGGGGTACGAAAATTTAGGCTAAAAAGTTATTATATTATTTTATATTATATTATATCATATATCATATTATATTTATATTATTTTTGCCATATTTTCTTTCTTTATTGACTTCTAAATATCCAAGACAAATGCGTCTATAAAAATATATACATATCAGGTGATAGTAAATGTTTTAATTGTTGCGAGGTTATAAACAATAGATATTAACAACAATAAATTACTTTCTTCCCTTTTTGTTATTTAGAGATGCTCTAATCCAAAAGCTAATTAATCTAAACGATTAAACTACAATTGTTCTTTATACTGCAGCATTTTCATATTATTTATCTTTAAAAACTTAAAACAATAAAGCAACAGTTATAACATCACAATAGTTTAATAAAATTTTAAGGCAATTTTCATAGAATGTCATAATCAATTGTACTAAAAGAATATTATAGAATAAAAAAGAATTATAAGCATACCAAATCCAGTACACATTCTGTCAAAGAACAATAGTTCTCTGAGATGTCTATAGTTTTTTGAAATGAAGACATTTTCAAATTAATGTAATCACAGCCTTCGCTAGCTCAATCCTTACTTGTGATCGATCACGTACGAAACGTTGACTAAAATATTGAATCATATTTCAGAAATAATAACATAATTTCTTTACGGGTGCAGAATGCTGTTGAAAATTAAATCTAAAATATATATAAGATAAAATAAGTGCACAGTCAAATATATTATTCGAATTTTATAATTAATGCTTCGATTCGATTTTTTTTTTTTTTCAGAAACATTACGTATCTAAAACATTACCCCCCTCGCTTAGTTGAAAAATAAATATTTTATCTGCATTTGTGTAATAATGTCACCTACATAATCCATTACGTATTTCTTATTCTATCTAAATTTTGTATGCACCTTATTCTATATAGCAGAATTTTATTCCTATCTATGTTTTACTTGCTTGTTGAATTTTATAACATATTTTCGTTTACTTGGTTGTTAAGAATTTGAAATGTTTTTAACTTATTTATAAATTATAGAAGTTGGTTTTAACTTTGTATTTCATTTGTAATGTTACATATTTACACATGGCGATTAGTTACATAATGATTGCAGGTTATTTATGTGCTTTACAACGAATACCGAATTTCGAACCCTAAACTTAAATCTTTTTATTTATCAGTCGTCATGGAACTTGATCAGATCAACATGAATTCGACAGTTTGAACAAGGCAATTTTAATTTATTTTACGACATAGTTCATCGCATTCATTAATAGATTTGCTTTATCATCTGTTTCTTCAGTTTTCTATTTGATTGCTTTATTTAATCCATGTAATAGTTTATCATAGTTTTACCTCTACCCTGCAATCTGAAGTAAATTCTGAACTGGGGTGTACAGAAAGGGGTAGTAAAAAGCAACTTACGCAATCAAAATGTTTGAGTGGGTACATTTCTACGGGATTTAGAATTTTTGAGAGGTACACATTTTGACAGGGAAAACAATTCTTAATTTTTTTTTTCAAAAGTCTGGCAGAATCTTATCAGTTATTAATCAATTATTATTATTATATGTTTGCATACTTCTGAAAAAAGATGAGAACTTTCCAATGAGAAATATTAAAAGTAAGCAAATGGTGAAATTAAAGTAAGACTTTTTGTTAAGTGAAAGAAAGCCTTCTATCGAAGTGTATAATACCTCGATACTGCATAGTTTCGTTGTTCCATGAAGATATGTAAGTAGGAAGGAAAATAGTTTAGGAAATAAACTTGAGATGAATGCAGAAAATCTATGGGGGGGGGTGGAATTTTGGGCTGAAGACCTCCTCCCCACAAATGGTTAAATGTAGCCAAATATAATAGAAAACATTGTTTCTAAAAGTATTGTTGTTCGTTTAAGCACATTTAATAGGACTTCAAGAATCACTTAAATACCATTTCGTAAAGGTAGTTAGTTTCTTCCTTTTTCATCGAAAGTTATTATCGTTTTATATACATAAATAGATAGAAAAAAAAACATTATTCTGGGACTAAGTAGCTTCATAATAACTAAATTGAACAAAAGAATAGAATAGTACTATCCTAAAAGTTTGAAACAATAAATAAGCCAACCAGTATAAGTGTTTCTTGCCAGGGAACATTTCTTCACCTACGTATATCCTTTCGTCGGTGTCCCGTCCTAAATATCTTGTTGAGAAATCTCTCTTTAATTTGCGCAGACGTATGATCTCGTCGCGTACCGTCTGGCGGACGAACCGCACGACGATGGGCGGTGGCCGAGGGTCTTCTCTTCTGCTCCTTTCTCTGTCAACGAAATTTAGGTCCTCAACGTTTATTTTATACCTAGAGCTGCCCCTATGGAGCAAACTAGGCCCTCTGTCGTTTCACACGGATTAGCCGTGATACCTCTTATCTCTTAGGAAATTAGGTCTTCTGGTGAAAGAATTGCAAAATAGAAATTTTCAGGGTCAAAGGAAATTTATGCATGCAGAATGAGGAGGGAGGTGGTAATGAGTCAGGGTTGGCAAGGTGAGAATTCATTTGATCGAAAGAAACAGAGTAGGATGTACAGGTTTTTGACTTTACTACTTTTTAAGGATTTTCCATTTGGACTTAGGATCTGGAGCTTGTCGTAAGGAAATATGGAAAAATTGTGCCTTAGCACGTCACAAGGAAGATTGGGTAAGGTTCCGAAGAGTCTTAAAAGAGAAGTAGTCATCCGGATCCCGTGTGGGTCTAAAATGCCTCCTTGCAGCTTCTCTTCTCCTCATTAATTCTCTAATTTCTGGTTTAATCCAGGGAGCAGGAGGGCGTTTGAAGGTTAAGGTATTTAAGGGTACGTGTTTATTTAGGAATAGAAGAAGATTAGAGGAAATACACTCCAACATTTCATCAATGGAGGAATAGGAATAGATGGGATCTAAAGAATGGGCTGGTGTATCGAGGATAGAATTTAGTTTTTCAGAGATGAAGGAGCCAAGATCCCGCCATGTGATTTGCCTGGGCATGGACTTAGGAGTCGGAACGTTATAGGAAATCTTGATGAGGTCATGATTTGAAAGGAAAGAGACCGGATTCTGGAGGAGGACAATAAGTTTTGAGAGGAATCAATTGAGAGGAAAGACATAAATGTGGGCTAAGGAGGCTCAGAGATACATAAAAAAAATACAGAGTAATTAAATAGACAAAATAAAAAAATTATAAGCTACTTTCTAATTTTAATAAGTTAATAGAAAATAAAAAAATAGAAAAATAAAACATGAAGTAAAAAAAATGAAGGACGATCTAATAATTTAAAAATATATTCATAGTAGTATCTATTTACAAGTTTATAGGGACTGGATCGATAAGAAATGATTGAACTGGCGTAATTTAAAGGTGGGAAGGGTATTGGATTAACGGATTCGAGAAGTGATTGGAGTTTCATAAGGATGAGGATGGGATAATGAACGATCTGTAGAAAGCTGCGATCCGGTGGGCTCTTGTGTATAAATCTGAAGACCGGGAACGAACAGAGCATTTGAATTTAAGGAGCTCGGAGATGTATGAAGGACCGCGGGATTTGATGACTTGAAAGAGGAAGGATGCTAGGAAATACTTACGACGGTAGGAAGGATAAAACCACTTAAACTCTGCATAAAAACGAGAAATAGAGGCGTCCCGTTGGATCCCGAAGATGAATCGTATAAAGCAATTTATCAAACGTCTTAGTTCCGCCTCGAGATCTCCAGAGACGCCCCCACATACCGTACAGCAATAGTCAAAGTGGGGAAATATTGAGGAAGAGATTAGGAGCCTACGGGTTTCAAGGGGAAATAGGAGACGGAAGTAATTTAGACGTTTAAAGGTGGAAAAGGTACGGCGGGAGATATTGGATATATCGTTTTTCCAGGAAAGAGTTTGGTCAAAGGTTATTCCAAGGTTTTTGATGTTGGGGGAAAATTTAATGGGATTTTCATGAAGGAACAGAGTTGGAATATTGGGAACAGTTTTAAGGAGGTTATTGGAGCCTATTAAGATTGCCTTCTTCTTTTCCGTATTCAACTCCAACCTGTTAGCTGTTACTAAAGGCCTATTACGCAGAACCACGAAAAAGTATCCCAAAAAGCATTATTGTTATCGTAATAACCGTTTCTTTTGTTGACTTTTTTTAACAGGACTTCAAGGAAAACACATCGTTTTATATAGATTCTAAATCCATTGCAAATTTAAGCCACAGGTGACAGCATTATAATTTATAAATTATCGTGATAATTGTTGCTAAAAATACAATACCAAATCACATTATCGTTTTACATAACCAGGAGTGAATCTCAACTTCTTCCATAGCAAACCCCAACTTAAATTATATGAACTTAAAGGTTATTAAAGAAGGGAGATTTTGTAAAGTTGGATTTGCAGCAGTCGAGTTTGAGGGTGATAAAAAGAAATCGATAATAATCAATGATTTTGTTTTTGTGACCAACATACTAAAACACGGGCAGGCTACTATTGAGGAAAAAAAATATTCAGTACTCCTCACTCTAAGTAGCTTTACCAATCTCTGATTTACGCTATACCTATATTTTTTTAAATCAGTAATAGCTCTAATTTGAATTAAAACATACCAAAATAACGTCCAGTACGAGTAGAGAAATCAATTCTATTACACAGGGACAATTTCAATCGATATCGATATAGTATTGATAAGACAGCTAGTTGGTAAAATGCTGGATATAGAACAGCTGATGTCATGGTAATTTTGATAAAGGTAACCAATAGCAACAATCTAGAAAGTTAATTTCAGTTACTAATTAATTCTAAAATAAATTAATAAAACTAAATATAAATATCAAATTAAAAGTACATATGACAACAACTAATTGAATAGTTTGTATTCCTCCTAAGACCATTAAATAGCATGAAAACGTTGGATAGAATCAATTTCATTTTGAGGAATAATCGAAACATAGGACAATATTTTTTCACAACGTCCCTATTACAATTTACTAGGTAGATTGTTCATTGGTAGGCCTCTATACGTTGTAGATAACATGACGATAGTTGTCACCTCCGCGACAGATACTGTTAACTGTCTTGTAAATACTGTCATTAAACAAGTATTACTAAATACCAATGTTATTACTGCAAATGTTATTCAATTGTACAGTTTACACAATGGAAGTAGCTGAGAATATTGTCATCTTGGGGATACGAAAATTTAGGCTAAAAAGTTATTATATTATTTTATATTATATTATATCATATATCATATTATATTTATATTATGTTTGCCATATTTTCTTTCTTTATTGATTTCTAAATATCCAAGACAAATGCGTCTATAAAAATATATACATATCAGGTGATAGTAAATGTTTTAATTGTTGCGAGGTTATAAACAATAGATATTAACAACAATAAATTAATTATTTTTTCCCTTTTTGTTATTTAGAGATGCTCTAATCCAAAAGCTAATTAATCTAAACGATTAAACTACAATTCTTCTTTATACTGCAGCATTTTCCGATTATTTATCTTTAAAAACTTAAAAAAATAAAGCAACAGTTATAACATCACAATAGTTAAATAAAATTTTAAGGCAATTTTCATAGAATGTCATAATCAATTGTACTAAAAGAATATTATAGAATAAAAAAGAATTATAAGCATACCAAATCCAGTACACATTCTGTCAAAGAACAATAGTTCTCTGAGATGTCTATAGTTTTTTGAAATGAAGACATTTTCAAATTAATGTAATCACAGCCTTCGATAGCTCAATCCTTACTTGTGATCGATCACGTACGAAACGTTGACTAAAATATTGGATCATATTTCAGAAATAACAACAAAATTCCTTTACGGGTGCAGAATGCTGTTGAAAATTAAATAATAAAATCTAAAATATATATATAAGATAAAATAAGTGCACAGTCAAATATATTATTCGAATTTTATAATTAATGCTTCGATTAGATTTTTTTTTTTTTTTTCAGGAACATTACTTATCTATAACATTACCCACGCTCGCTTAGATGAAAAATAAATATTTTAGCTGCATTTGTGTAATAATGTCACCTACATAATCCATTACGTATTTCTTATTCTATCTAAATTTTGTATGCACCTTATTCTATATAGCAGAATTTTATTCCTATCTATGTTTTACTTGCTTGTTGAATTTTATAACATATTTTCGTTTACTTGGTTGTTAAGAATTTGAAGTGTTTTTAACTTATTTATAAATTAAAGAAGTTGGTTTTAACTTTGTATTTCATTTGTAATGTTACATATTTACAAACGGCGATTAGTTACATAATGATTGCAGGTTATTTATGTGCTTTACAACGAATACCGAATTTCGAACCCTAAAGTTAAATCTTTTTCAACAGTTTGAACAAGGCAATTTTAATTTATAATAGTTCATCGGATTCATTAATAGATTTGCTTTATCATCTGTTTCTTCAGTTTTCTATTTGATTGCTTTATTTAATCCATGTAATAGTTTATCATAGTTTTACCTCTACCCTGCAATCTGAAGTAAATTCTGAACTGGGGTGTACAGAAAGGGGTAGTAAAAAGCAACTTACGCAATCAAAATGTTTGAGTGGGTACATCTCTACGGGATTTTGAATTTTTGAGAGGTACACATTTTGACAGGGAAAACAATTCTTAATTTTTTTTTTCAAAAGTCTGGCAGAATCTTATCAGTTATTAATCAATTATTATTATTATATGTTTGCATACTTCTGAAAAAATATGAGAACTTTCCAATGAGAAATATTAAAAGTAAGCAAATGTTGAAATTAGAGTAAGACTTTTTGTTAAGTGAAAGAAAGCCTTCTATCGAAGTATATAATACCTCGATACTGCATAGTTTCGTTGTTCCATGAAGATATGTAAGTAGGAAGGAAAATAGTTTAGGAAATAAACTTGAGATGAATGCAGAAAATCTATGGGGGGGGTGGAATTTTGGGCTGAAGACCTCCTCCCCACAAATGGTTAAATGTAGCCAAATATAATAAAAAACATTGTTTCTAAAAGTATTGTTGTTCGTTTAAGCACATTTAATAGGACTTCAAGAATCACTTAAATACCATTTCGTAAAGGTAGTTAGTTTCTTACTTTTTCATCGAAAGTTATTATCGTTTTATACATATAGATAGAAAGAAAAAAAAACATTATTCTGGGACTAAGTCCCTTTATAATAACGAAATTGAACAAAAGAATAGAATACTACTAGCCTAAAAGTTTGAAACAATAAATAAGCCAACCAGTATAAGTGTTTGTTTCCAGGGCCCATTTCTTCGTCTATGTATATCCTTTCGTCGGTTTCCCGTCCTAAATACCCTGTTGAGAAATCTCTCTTTAATTTGCGCAGCCGAATGATCTCATCGCGTACCGTCTGGCGGACGAACCGCACGACGATGGGCGGTGGCCGAGGGTCTTCTCTTCTGCTCCTTTCTCTGTCAACGAAATTTAGGTCCTCAACGTTTATTTTATACCTAGAGCTGCCCCTATGGAGCAAACTAGGCCCTCTGTCGTTTCACAAGGATTAGCCGTGATACCTCTTATCTCTTAGGAAATTAGGTCTTCTGGTGAAAGAATTGCAAAATAGAAATTTTCAGGGTCAAAGGAAATTTATGCATGCAGAATGAGGAGGGAGGTGGTAATGAGTCAGGGTTGGCAAGGTGAGAATTCATTTGATCGAAAGAAACAGAGTAGGATGTACAGGTTTTTGACTTTACTACTTTTTAAGGATTTTCCATTTGGACTTAGGATCTGGAGCTTGTTGTAAGGAAATATAGAAAAATTGTGCCTTAGCACGTCACAAGGAAGATTGGGTAAGGTTCCGAAGAGTCTTAAAAGAGAAGTAGTCATCCGGATCCCGTGTGGGTCTAAAATGCCTCCTTGCAGCTTCTCTTCTCCTCATTAATTCTCTAATTTCTGGTTTAATCCAGGGAGCAGGAGGGCGTTTGAAGGTTAAGGTATTTAAGGGTACGTGTTTATTTAGGAATAGAAGAAGATTAGAGGAAAGACACTCCAACATTTCATCAATGGAGGAATAGGAATAGATGGGATCTAAAGAATGCGCTGGTGTATCGAGGATAGGATTTAGTTTTTCAGAGATGAAGGAGCCAAGATCCCGCCATGTGATTTGCCTGGGCATGGACTTAGGAGTCGGAACGTTATAGGAAATCTTGATGAGGTCATGATTTGAAAGGAAAGAGACCGGATTCTGGGAGGAGGACAATAAGTTTTGAGAGGAATCAATTGAGAGGAAAGACATAAATGTGGGCTAAGGAGGCTCAGAGAAACATAAACAAAAATACAGAGTAATTAAATAGACAAAATAAAAAAATTATAAGCTACTTTCTGATTTTAATAAGTTAATAGAAAATAAAAAAATAGAAAAATAAAACATGAAGTAAAAAAAATGAAGGACGATCTAATAATTTATATATTTATTCATGGTAGTATCTATTTACAAGTTTATGGGGACTGGATCGATAAGAAATAATTGAACTGGCGGGATTTAAAGGTGGGAAGGGTATTGGATTAACGGATTTGGGAAGAGGTTGGAGTTCCATAAGGATGAGTATCGGATAATGAACGATCTGTCGAAAGCTGCGATCCGGTGGGCTCTTGTGTATAAATCTGAAGACCGGGAACGAACAGAGCATTTAAATTGAAGGAGCTCGGAGATGTATGAAGGACGGCGGGATTTGATGACTTGAAAAAGGAAGGATGCTAGGAAATACTTACGACGGTAGGAAGGACAAAACCACTTCAGCTCCGCATAAAAACGAGAAATAGAGGCGTCCCGTAGGATCCCGAAGATGAATCGTATAAAGCAATTTATCAAACGTTTTATTTTCGCCTCGAGATCTCCAGAGACGCCCCCATATACCGTACAGCAATAGTCAAAGTGGGGAAATATTGAGGAAGAGACTAGGAGCCTACGGGTTTCAAGGGGAAACAGGTGACGGAAGTAATTTAGACGTTTAAAGGTGGAAAAGGTACGGCTGGAGATATTGGATACATCGTTTTTCCAGGAAAGAGTTTGGTCAAAGGTTATACCAAGGTTTTTGATGTTGGGGTAAAATTTAATGGGATTTTCATGAAGGAACAGAGTTGGAATATTGGGAACAGTTTTAGGGAGGTTATTGGAGCCTATTAAGATTGCCTTCTTCTTTTCCGTATTCAACTCCAACCTGTTAGCTGTTACTAAAGGCCTATTACGCAGAACCACGAAAAAGTATCCCAAAAAGCATTATTGTTATCGTAATAACCGTTTCTTTTGTTGACTTTTTTTAACAGGACTTCAAGGAAAACACATCGTTTTATATAGATTCTAAATCCATTGCAAATTTAAGCCATAGGTGACAGCATTATAATTTATAAATTATCGTGATAATTGTTGCTAAAAATACAATACCAAATCACATTATCGTTTTACATAACCAGGAGTGAATCTCAACTTCTTCCATAGCAAACCCCAACTTAAATTATATGAACTTAAAGGTTATTAAACAAGGGAGATTTTGTAAAGTTGGATTTGCAGCAGTCGAGTTTGAGGGTGATAAAAAGAGCGATAATAATCAATGATTTTGTTTTTGTGACCAACATACTAAAACACGGGCAGGCTACTATTGAGGAAAAAAAATATTCTGTACTCCTCACTCTAAGTAGCTTTACCAATCTCTGGTTTACGCTATACCTATATCTTTTTTTTTAATCAGTAATAGCTCTAATTTCAATTAAAACGTAGAAAAATAACGTCCAGTACGAGTAGAGAAATCAATTCTATTACACAGGGTCAATTTCAATCGATATCGATATAGTATTGATAAGAAAGCGAGTAGGTAAAATGCTGGATATAGAACAGCTGATGTCATGGTAATTTTAATAAAGGTAACTAATAGCAACAATCTAGAAAGTTAATTTCAGTTACTAATTTATTCTAAAATAAATTAATACAACTAAATATAAATACCAAATTAAAAGTACTTATGACAACAACTAATTGAATAGTTTGTATTCCTCCTATGAGCATTAAATAACATGAAAACGTTGGATAGAATCAATTTCATCTTGTGGAATAATCGAAACATAGGACAATCTTTTTTCACACCATCCCTATTACAATTTACTAGGTAGATAATTCAGATAGGTGTATTTTATTAGATAGGTAGATTGTTCATTGGTAGGCCTCTATACATGGTAGATAACATGACGATAGTTGTCACCTCCGTGACAGATACTGTTAACTGTCTTGTAAATACGGTCATTAAACAAGTATTACCAAATACCAATGTTATTACTGCAAATATTATTCAATTTTACAGTTTACACAATGGAAGTAACTGAGAATATTGTCATCTTGGGGATACAAAAATTTAGGCTAAAAAGTTATTATATTATTTTTATATTATATTGTATCATATATCATATTATGTTTATATTATTTTTGCCATATTTTCTTTCTTTATTGACTTCTAAATATCCAAGACAAATGCGTCTATAAAAATATATACATATCAGGTGATAGTAAATGTTTTAATTGTTGCGAGGTTATAAACAATAGATATTAACAACAATAAATTACTTTCTTCCCTTTTTGTTATTTAGAGATGCTCTAATCCAAAAGCTAATTAATCTAAACGATTAAACTACAATTCTTCTTTATACTGCAACATTTTCCGATTATTTATCTTTAAAAACTTAAAACAATAAAGCAACAGTTATAACATCACAATAGTTTAATAAAATTTTAAGGCAATTTTCATAGAATGTCATAATCAATTGTACTAAAAGAATATTATAGAATAAAAAAGAATTATAAGCATACCAAATCCAGTACACATTCTGTCAAAGAACAATAGTTCTCTGAGATGTCTATAGTTTTTTGAAATGAAGACATTTTCAAATTAATGTAATCACAGCCTTCGCTAGCTCAATCCTTACTTGTGATCGATCACGTACGAAACGTTGACTAAAATATTGAATCATATTTCAGAAATAATAACATAATTTCTTTACGGGTGCAGAATGCTGTTGAAAATTAAATCTAAAATATATATATAAGATAAAATAAGTGCACAGTCAAATATATTATTCGAATTTTATAATTAATGCTTCGATTCGATTTTTTTTTTCAGAAACATTACGTATCTAAAACATTACCCCCGCTCGCTTAGTTGAAAAATAAATATTTTATCTGCATTTGTGTATTAATGTCACCTACATAATCCATTACGTATTTCTTATTCTATCTAAATTTTGTATGCACCTTATTCTATATAGCAGAATTTTATTCCTATCTATGTTTTACTTGCTTGTTGAATTTTATAACATATTTTCGTTTACTTGGTTGTTAAGAATTTGAAATGTTTTTAACTTATTTATAAATTATAGAAGTTGGTTTTAACTTTGTATTTCATTTGTAATGTTACATATTTACACATGGCGATTAGTTACATAATGATTGCAGGTTATTTATGTGCTTTACAACGAATACCGAATTTCGAACCCTAAACTTAAATCTTTTTATTTATCAGTCGTCATGGAACTTGATCAGATCAACATGAATTCGACAGTTTGAACAAGGCAATTTTAATTTATTTTACGACATAGTTCATCGCATTCATTAATAGATTTGCTTTATCATCTGTTTCTTCAGTTTTCTATTTGATTGCTTTATTTAATCCATGTAATAGTTTATCATAGTTTTACCTCTACCCTGCAATCTGAAGTAAATTCTGAACTGGGGTGTACAGAAAGGGGTAGTAAAAAGCAACTTACGCAATCAAAATGTTTGAGTGGGTACATTTCTACGGGATTTTGAATTTTTGAGAGGTACACATTTTGACAGGGAAAACAATTCTTAATTTTTTTTTTCAAAAGTCTGGCAGAATCTTATCAGTTATTAACCAATTATTATTATTATATGTTTGCATACTTCTGAAAAAAGATGAGAACTATCCAATGAGAAATATTAAAAGTAAGCAAATGTTGAAATTAGAGTAAGACTTTTTGTTAAGTGAAAGAAAGCCTTCTATCGAAGTGTATAATACCTCGATACTGCATAGTTTCGTTGTTCCATGAAGATATGTAAGTAGGAAGGAAAATAGTTTAGGAAATAAACTTGAGATGAATGCAGAAAATCTATGGGGGGGGGTGGAATTTTGGGCTGAAGACCTCCTCCCCACAAATGGTTAAATGTAGCCAAATATAATAAAAAATATTGTTTCTAAAAGTATTGTTGTTCGTTTAAGCACATTTAATAGGACTTCAAGAATCACTTAAATACCATTTCGTAAAGGTAGTTAGTTTCTTACTTTTTCATCGAAAGTTATTATCGTTTTATACATATAGATAGAAAGAAAAAAAAAATTTATTCTGGGACTAAGTCCCTTTATAATAACGAAATTGAACAAAAGAATAGAATACTACTAGCCTAAAAGTTTGAAACAATAAATAAGCCAACCAGTATAAGTGTTTCTTGCCAGGGCCCATTTCTTCACCTATGTATATCCTTTCGTCGGTGTCCCGTCCTAAATATCTTGTTGAGAAATCTCTCTTTAATTTGCGCAGACGTATGATCTCATCGCGTACCGTCTGGTGGACGAACCGCACCACGATGGGCGTTGGCCGAGGGTCTTCTCTTCTGCTCCTTTTTCTGTCCACGAAATTGAGGTCCTCAACGTTTAATTTTGACCTAGAGCTGCCCCTATGGAGCAAACTAGGCCCTCTGTCGTTTCACCCGGATTAGCGGTGATACCTCTTATCTCCAAGGAAAGTAGGTATTCTGGTGAAAGAATTGCAAAATAGAAATTTTCAGGGTCAAAGGAAATTTATGCATGCAGAATGAGGAGGGAGGTGGTAATGAGTCAGGGTTGGCAAGGTGAGAATTCATTTGATCGAAAGAAACAGAGTAGGATGTACAGGTTTTTGACTTTACTACTTTTTAAGGATTTTCCATTTGGACTTAGGATCTGGAGCTTGTCGTAAGGAAATATAGAAAAATTGTGCCTTAGCACGTCACAAGGAAGATTGGGTAAGGTTCCGAAGAGTCTTAAAAGAGAAGTAGTCATCCGGATCCTGTGTGGGTCTAAAATGCCTCCTTGCAGCTTCTCTTCTCCTCATTAATTCTCTAATTTCTGGTTTAATCCAGGGAGCAGGAGGGCGTTTGAAGGTTAAGGTATTTAAGGGTACGTGTTTATTTAGGAATAGAAGAAGATTAGAGGAAAGACACTCCAACATTTCATCAATGGAGGAATAGGAATAGATGGGATCTAAAGAATGGGCTGGTGTATCGAGGATAGGATTTAGTTTTTCAGAGATGAAGGAGCCAAGATCCCGCCATGTGATTTGCCTGGGCATGGACTTAGGAGTCGGAACGTTATAGGAAATCTTGATGAGGTCATGATTTGAAAGGAAAGAGACCGGATTCTGGGAGGAGGACAATAAGTTTTGAGAGGAATCAATTGAGAGGAAAGACATAAATGTGGGCTAAGGAGGCTCAGAGATACATAAACAAAAATACAGAGTAATTAAATAGACAAAATAAAAAAATTATAAGCTACTTTCTAATTATAATAAGTTAATAGAAAATAAAAAAATAGAAAAATAAAACATGAAGTAAAAAAAATGAAGGACGATCTAATAATTTAAAAATATATTCATAGTAGTATCTATTTACAAGTTTATAGGGACTGGATCGATAAGAAATGATTGAACTGGCGTAATTTAAAGGTGGGAGGGGTATTGGATTAACGGATTCGAGAAGTGATTGGAGTTTCATAAGGATGAGGATGGGATAATGAACGATCTGTAGAAAGCTGCGATCCGGTGGGCTCTTGTGTATAAATCTGAAGACCGGGAACGAACAGAGCATTTGAATTTAAGTAGCTCGGAGATGTATGAAGGACCGCGGGATTTGATGACTTGAAAGAGGATGGATGCTAGGACATACTTACGACGGTAGGAAGGATAAAACCACTTAAACTCTGCATAAAAACGAGAAATAGAGGCGTCCCGTTGGATCCCGAAGATGAATCGTATAAAGCAATTTATCAAACGTCTTAGTTTCGCCTCGAGATCTCCAGAGACGCCCCCACATACCGTACAGCAATAGTCAAAGTGGGGAAATATTGAGGAAGAGATTAGGAGCCTACGGGTTTCAAGGGGAAATAGGTGACGGAAGTAATTTAGACGTTTAAAGGTGGAAAAGGTACGGCGGGAGATATTGGATATATCGTTTTTCCAGGAAAGAGTTTGGTCAAAGGTTATTCCAAGGTTTTTGATGTTGGGGGAAAATTTAATGGGATTTTCATGAAGGAACAGAGTTGGAATATCGGGAACAGTTTTAAGGAGGTTATTGGAGCCTATTAAGATTGCCTTCTTCTTTTCCGTATTCAACTCCAACCTGTTAGCTGTTACTGATGGCCTATTAGGCAGAACCATGAAAAAGTATCCCAAAAAGCATTATTGTTATCGTAATAACCGTTTCTTTTGTTGACTTTTTTTAACAGGACTTCAAGGAAAACACATCGTTTTATATAGATTCTAAATTCATTGTAAATTTAAGCCATAGGTGACAGCATTATAATTTATAAATTATCGTGATAATTGTTGCTAAAAATACAATACCAAATCACATTATCTATCGTTTTACATAACCAGGAGTGAATCTCAACTTCTTCCATAGCAAACCCCAACTTAAATTATATGAACTTAAAGGTTATTAAACAAGGGAGATTTTGTAAAGTTGGATTTGCAGCAGTCGAGTTTGAGGGTGATAAAAAGAAATCGATAATAATCAATGATTTTGTTTTTGTGACCAACATACTAAAACACGGGCAGGCTACTATTGAGGAAAAAAAATATTCAGTACTCCTCACTCTAAGTAGCTTTACCAATCTCTGGTTTACGCTATACCTATATTTTTTTTAATCAGTAATAGCTCTAATTTGAATTAAAACATACCAAAATAACGTCCAGTATGAGTAGAGAAATCATTTCTATTACACAGGGACAATTTCAATCGATATCGATATAGTATTGATAAGACAGCTAGTTGGTAAAATGCTGGATATAGAACAGCTGATGTCATGGTAATTTTAATTAAGGTAACCAATAGCAACAATCTAGAAAGTTAATTTCAGTTACTAATTTATTCTAAAATAAATTAAAAACTAAATATAAATATCAAATTAAAAGTACTTATGACAACAACTAATTGAATAGTTTGTATTCCTCCTAAGACCATTAAATAACATGAAAACGTTGGATAGAATCAATTCCATTTTGTGGAATAATTGAAACATAGGACAATTTTTTCACACCATCCCTATTACAATTTACTAGGTAGATTGTTCATTGGTAGGCCTCTATACGTTGTAGATAACATGACGATAGTTGTCACCTCCGCGACAGATACTGTTAACTGTCTTGTAAATACTGTCATTAAACAAGTATTACTAAATACCAATGTTATTACTGCAAATGTTATTCAATTGTACAGTTTACACAATGGAAGTAGCTGAGAATATTGTCATCTTGGGGATACGAAAATTTAGGCTAAAAAGTTATTATATTATTTTATATTATATTATATCATATATCATATTATATTTATATTATTTTTGCCATATTTTCTTTCTTTATTGACTTCTAAATATCCAAGACAAATGCGTCTATAAAAATATATACATATCAGGTGATAGTAAATGTTTTAATTGTTGCGAGGTTATAAACAATAGATATTAACAACAATAAATTACTTTTTTCCCTTTTTATTATTTAGTGATGCTCTAATCCAAAAGCTAATTAATCTAAACGATTAAACTACAATTCTTCTTTATACTGCAGCATTTTCCGATTATTTATCTTTAAAAACTTAAAACAATAAAGCAACAGTTATAAGATCACAATAGTTAAATATAATTTTAAGGCAATTTTCATATAATAATCATAATCAATTATCCTAAAAGGATATTATAGAATAA